GACAACTGAAGACTGTCTTAACAAGCACAGCTCATCTGTGCTGAAACTAAGGCTGGGTTAAGATGGGGTTTAGGTCCTCATTAAAGTCCACAGCATAGAGTTTAAGAGGAAATGATGAAATGGTGCTCCCTGAAACATCTCTTCTTTAAATTTAATTAGACAAATTATACTCAAACTAGTAGATGCCCTGGGAAGGCAATCAACATTAGGGCTAATAAAAAGCTTGAATAGTATAAAAGGGCTGGAGGAGGTATTGTAGAACCTTTCTAGCACTTATGAGAGGTAAATTAACACCAATTGCTAAACATAGAAACTGGATAAATTTCAATATTCATTTAGAAATTAATTTTATGATGCTGTCCTAAGTATTAAAATACAGGTTATACTTAAATCATTCAAAGTTTGGCATGTTCACACATGTGCACAAAGTATTTGATAGATATTTACACACTGGGAGACACAATTATGGTCTGACTTTGGAGTTTTGGCAGATCTGGGTTCAAATTCTGGCAAGTTTCCCTACTAGCTTTTTTTGGGTGCGTGTGATCCGAACCCTCGGGCGGGAGCGCTACCGCGCTTCCCAAGCGGCGCACTATCCAGTGCGCCACCGGGCCGGCCCGAGTTTGTCTTCTTAACGTACATTTGAAAGAGCATGTTATATATAGATTATGGCTATTTATGCTTTGTTGGTAATATCCATTACAAAAAGTTTCCCATTTGTCATTTATCTTTTAATTTTATGGTGATCTTGAACATAAAAATTTTGAATTATTTGTAGTCAAATTATGACCTATGCCAAGTTTAGAGTCCTACCCCATCCTCACAGTAAATGAACATTCACCTATTCCAAAACTTTAATGGTTTCATTTTTGTCTAATGTTAAAATTTTAATTTATACGTACATTGGTACATGGGATCTGAAAGGATCTATTTTCCCAGAGGTTAATCTTTCCCTCATCATTATCACATTCTAAATGCCTATTTAGATTAGGTTGTTTTCTGATTTCTATATTCTGTTCCATACAACACTTCTTATAGCTTTACAATACTTTTTCATGTTTGATCTGTACTACTCTTTTTAAAACAGAAGAATTTACTCTTCCAGATTAATTTAAAATAATTTTGCTAAGCCACTCTCCCCTACTAAAAATACGTGATTTCTGAAAGTAATTGTCTAGTAATATACATAGTTTAAAGTTTGATTCCAGTCGAAGTTCTCCAGTTCTTCATAAAGATATGAGGGGTCTTCAAAAAATTCATGGAAAGATTCACATTATCTTTTTATTCTATTTTTTCACTAACTTTTTGAAGTAACTTCATACTATACCATATATTTCTTATTACTACTTTATGTTGTTACTATTGTGAATGGGATTATTCACAATCTTACGATATCAAATACTTATTACAATATATAGTATTGTAATACTTATTACAATATACAGTATCGTAATACTGTAGTACCACAGTAATATAAGAATATTGTAACAGTAATAATTTTTACTCAATATTATAACTGGAATTTTTTTACATTTTACACTTTACTATTCATCTCTGTAACTGAATCTTGATGACATATAGGAACACCAGTGGTTTTCAAAAATACATTTTATAGGGCCGGCCCGGTGGCGCACTGGATAAGTGCGCCGCTTGGGAAGCGTGGCGGCGCTCCCCCCCGCGGGCTCGGCCCCCCCCCACAGACC